ACAAGTTCTGAAGCAAGAACAACTGGTTTGTATTGCCATGAAGGTTGAGGTTGCTTATATTTTTGGATAAGACATGTCTGCAGTTTATAGATCACTACAAGAACCCATGCCCTTTGACCCACTTCCCCGGCAAGGGCCGCCGCAGCGGCCGCAGCCTCGTTGGCCAACCCCCTCCTGGCGCCGCCGCTGCTGGGGACTCACAGTGAAGCTGCAACAACCCAATAGGAACCGCTGGTTCACGAGACGAATCAGTGGTGTTCCTCACAGGTCCCGCTGCAAGGAACAAGATAAACAATCACTGGTCCCGCTGCTTCAGACCTCGGACCGGTCGATGGACCCGTCGATGCACCACCAAGTCCTAGGTCCTATGTCTTAACACTCTGCGCACCCGCTTCCAACAGCGCGAAGACCCCCCAAAACACCGGGGAAGCGTCTCGAACCCGTCACTTGAAGCGCGCAGCGCGAAGCGCGAAGCGCGAATGGCTTTGTCAGGCCTTTGCCGCCGGGTGGCTACTATCCTGGCCTGTCTCCATGGCCGGGCCTGGCCCACCCGCAGGTGGGGCGGGCGCCCCACCCGTAAACCTGGTGAAAGCGGGGGGAGCTGCTGTGCGAGCAAGAGAGCAGAACAGGGAAGGAACTGGGAGCGGGTTTTGGTTTGCTTGATACGTGATCACTCATTCCTTGAGGTAGCAAATGTGGAGCATTTGCTCATGGAACACTGATCGTGGTACATCGTGGTCACTTCGATAGTTGGTGTTGACTGCCCCTACTTCATTCGCCAATGTCGCTTCACCTGGATGAACGCTTCGAGTCAGTGCATCATGTCACCTCTCGGCTCCTGGCACGGCGTCGCCGAGCCGTCGGTGCGAAAAGCAGCGCTGTGAGGCCTTTCTCCCAGGTGCTCTGGCACCGCCCCTGGGAGCAGTTCCAGGAGCAGGCGGGTTTCACCTCCACGACCCCGGCAGTCGACACGGTTTCACCGATCCTTCGTCCGGACGGGAGGTGAATCAGGGTTTCTTGAGAATCAGAGGAGTTGAGCATTGCAAGATCTCAAGGTTTCAGAGGCATGCGGTTTTGAAAGGAGTTGGCTGAACGGGGATGGTGTTTAATCGAAATTCGATGTGTCCTCTTTCGGCGCCTCTCTCTTGTGAGGAGCCTGGGAGACGCATGGGTTGACCTTGATGGATCTAGAGCACAAAACGGTTGGGATACTGTGCTACCCAAGAGACCCCCGATTCCGGCAAGCAGGCCAGGGCGGCCAGAGTGATTGCCCTGGGTTCCACTCCTATCGGGAGCATCTCTTGATTCTTTTTGCCATTCCAGTTCAACAAATGCCTGCTGCTCCTCCAAAAAGCAATCCGCAACACCTCCACAACACCTCCACAACTCTGGGCCCTCAAAGGGTTCGGGAGATTCCTGGCGATGTCAGCTGCGATTTCACGGTCATCGCCAGGGCTGGCCAGGGCTCCTTCGACTGAAGCCCTCCCTGTCGGGACCTGCCAGACCTGCTGGGCCCTTTCGGCTCCCACAGGTGCCTGGCCGTATGCGCTCCCCTACCCGGGCCTTGACCCGGCAGTGGCGGCGATGGCGGCCTCCGCCGCAGGTGGTGGCCGCCAGTTGGGCGTGTCCAAGCAATGCGGGGTTGAGAAAAGAAGATGTTTGGAAAAGGAATAGAAAAAGGGTTGCCAAGAGCATGGCAAAGAAGACTGCAGGACTGGACTGGCGTTTCGATCGATGCTGTCCACATGTTCACCCCTTTTGACCAATAGGAGGAGCACCAAGAAAGACTTCAGATGTTTGTTTGGGGTATTTGTAGTCAGGAGGTGCTGCGGCAGCAGCGGCCGCTGCCAGCGTGGGGAGCCGCGGGATTGGCGAGCAGGGGATGTTGGATGATGGACGCTGGAGGTGGACAATCGCAAAAGCCCAAAATCGAACAGTCGTCCTTTTTTCATAAAGATCTTCGCTTAACACAAACGAATTTAAGAGATCCCGGACAATCCTATATGCCAGGAGTCACAAAGGGGTGGTGTTTAGTCCGATCCAGTAAGTGGATCAAAGACACCCCTAACCTCCAAGTTCAGCACCCCGTCTTGTGACTGCTGGTGGTTAAGCATTTTCTATTTGGCTTCTCATCACCGACTGACGCAACCTTCATAATATCCGACGGACTTCTCAGGTGACCTGCAAGGAGGCCCAGACCAGACATACCCCAGGTACCTGCACGTTTGCACGTGGAATTTGCTTGCAATCCATGGAAGAAGATGAAACATCAGCTGAGAGTTGGAATGTTTTCTCCTTTCTAGCTGTGGTTTCTAGCTGTGGTGATTCGAGACATCACCTTTCTTTCAGCTTTGGATGGCTTTCGGACCCAAGCAAATGACATTCTTGACAGGATGCAAAAGAGGTCATTGATCTCAAGACTCTGTGCAGTCGTTTTACGCTGTTCTGTTCGTTTGGGGTCCATTTTTCCAGCGAATCCCTAGCGGCGGTCAGCTGCGGTCACCTTCTGTGTCCTCGCCCGGTTTGGCCGTCCATGTCCGGTCCGACTGGACCGGAGTGGCTGACAAGCCAGCTGTGCGTCGCTGATTGAAGATGTCATCATGCAGGCAGGTCATGGAACTTGGAGCCAGAAGGCCTGCAAAAGAAGACATGGAAGACATTGAAGACCTTGAAGATACATATTATGAAGGGCATGCGAAGATCCGCTTTTTGATGCAGTGCAGGGTCTCTCCACCGGAACCGGAATCACTGGGCAACGGATCGATCCTGCTCCAAAACCGACCGTTTTCCAACGAACACCCAGGCTGTCCCCGCCCGTTGTTGGAACCCTACCCACCCAGCACCGACCGCACCGACCGCGTCTCCGCTCCCCGCGTCCCCACGAGCCGCAGCCCGACCACCACGAACGCCGGACCAGCGCCATGGACACCGGCGGACTGAGCGCCTTTTCCGAGTCCTATGAGGAGGTCAGGGCCGTCGTGGTTCCCGGCGGGTTGCTTCGCTGTGCCCGGCTGTGCCCCTGGCGATGTGAGGTGCGTGGTGCCTTTTGTTTGGTCCAGTGGCGCTGGGGCAGATCCGGCAGGTCGACTTTGGTTTGACATGTTTCATATGAGGGTCCCCCTACTTAGGAGGGTCCATGAGCGTCTGGGTGTACAGTAAGTTGTGGGCTAGTAAACAACCAGCAACCGCTTTCATTGGGGGCGGTTGTCCTGTTTTCCGTGTACATGCCCCAGAACACGTGGAAGCAAGTGTAAATCGTAGGCTGGTGTGTCAAACACTCCCGAGGAAGCTAACACTGACATCATTCTTGATACCGCTCAGCTGGACCTCCCTTTTTGTTTCGGACACATATCCTGGAGAAGGCACATCCCTGCTTTGCATGACTGAGAATACATCCATGAAACACGCAGTTCTGTCCCTCAATACTTGGAAAACGCTTGCTCCCAACAGTCTCCGATCCAACAGCGGCGCTGTTCGCCGGCAGGCCCGCGGGAAGTTCCTGGCGGCCGCCCAGGCGGCCGGCGCCGAGCTGGTGGCGTTGCCGGTCACGGAGGACGAGCAGGGGAAGTGCGCGACTCACCGGGAAGTCCAGCGAAGCGACGAAGTGGTTTGGATGGTGGGTGGGTCGTTGGGATGGACTATGCGTCGAAGTGATGTAGTTTTTCTTAATCAATTCTGAAATGGTGTCACGATGCTTCAAGAAACTTGAATGCTTAGCCCGTTGGGAGGTACTCCATCGACATCGCGATCTGCGCCAGCAAGAGTGCTGGACCTGCGCGTGGTCTGGTGGTCATCTCCAGTGGAGTCCATGGTGCATCGGCAAGTCAAAGGGCTTGGGCACAGCTCTTCTTACAAAACAAACATTTCAATAGCAATCTCACTAGCAACTGTTATTGTTTCTCACTTGTCTTTTAGGACCTTCCACGTTCCTTATTTTCTGATGCAGCGGACATCGCCCCTTCAGGACCGCACGGCCGTTGGGAACGGCGTGGACAGACTAGAAAAGACAGACTAGACGACTGAGAGGGCCGTTGCCTTGGAGAAACGGACTTTCGATATGCAACGCGGTTTTGACGCCAAGCAGGATCCGAACTCCGAAAACCGACGGCCAGGCTTATGGTCCAAGTCTCACCAGCATTCTTCCAAGTGAACCACCAAGACTACTTAGCAGGCCAAAGACTCTACTGGTTGCTTGTTGGTTCCACTTGCCTGGCTCCATTTGCGACAGTGCCGGCCGTTGAAATCCGGGCTCCGAAAGCGATTTCGCTGAGGTGTGGAAGGCTACGCGGGCAGTGCGATTCAGATCTCCTTGCTGAAGCAATGGAAGGCGAGCGTCGCGGACACAGAGCGCCGTGCGTCGAGCCGCGCGGCTTGCGAGCGAAGACGAGCCGGGCGGGACAGTTGGATTGGTGAGGAGATGTGCAAGGTGAGGAGAGTGAGATTACGGACATACCATTTTTTCAGTGGTGTTGGCTGCTCAAGATGGCTCAAGGTCAAGAACCCCCGGTCCAAGTTTGTGTTTGGCAGAGGTTGCACTCATTACTCATAACAAAGAGCTCCCAGTCAATGACCTGCACATGTGTTGAACCTTTGAAATTTCAACATGGGTTCTAGCTGCCACTAGCTCGTTCATTGCGGCATGGCAGACTTCCAGCAGTGTTTGTCCCAGGGCTTGCTGGGGTACCTGTGTGACCCAAGCTGCAGTGCCGTGCGCTGCTTGGATTTTGAATCTGCTCAGCACTTGATCTTCTACAAGTACAACTACTATGGGATGTTGATTGGTATTTGTGCCGGAAAAGTGCGAGTCCTTAAGTGATGTGCAAGCACTAGAAGCCCATGGATCATGGCAGGAGCTTCAGGCGATCTTGAGGTTCTACCCAAAACATTTTGCAAAGCTGCCACCTCCAGGCAGATACTCTGTTGCAAGCTTCGTCAAGGCATGTGCATCAGAACAGGGGGCAACAAGACTTGCACGACAAGTGGCCCAGGTTATTTTTGAGATGGCCGCATTGGCGGAAAAGGACAGGGGCAATGCCTCCTTCAAGAGCAGCAATTTTGAACAGGCCTTGGCGAGCTATACCAAGGCCCTTGTTTTGCTTGGCTTCAGAAAGTCCACAGACGGTGAGAAAGGCATTTTTCCCCAAACGTCTCAAGAATTTCCAAAGAGAAGTTTGGAGCTTTCAATGGCGCTGCTCAGCAATCGCAGCTTGTGTTTCTTGAAGCTGGGGCACACGCTTGATGCCATTGCAGACGCAGAAGAAGCAGTCAATCGCATGGACTTTACCGCTGGAACTCCGACCAACATTCCCGCGTTTGTGAAGGCCAAGCATCGGCTGGCCACTGCGCTCATGCGGGCGGGGCGTTTCAAGGAGTCCTTGGGCCACTTGGATGCCATCGACCAATTGAATGGGAACCGCACTGCGACAATTGAGTTGAGGGGAGTCATCAAGAGCCTGCGCCAGCACCTTGGTATTGTGAGTTTGATACAACCGAGCATTGCCATTCTGACCTTGGAGAGATACTTCGGACAATTCGGGGGCAGATGACTTCTGAATATTTTTGGTAAGAGGGCTCACAATCCTAGATCCCACGTTTTCGCTTGTGCGTGTGTTGTTTGGCAAACACCAGGAACTGTTCAGCAGCAAACTCTGGGTATTCCACCTTGACGGAGCACTTGAAGGCCGCGCTGCCATTGTATAATATGGGTTTGAGTCAGAGCGCTGAAGCGCTCCAGAATGAGCAAAATGCATGATGGCTATGTGCCACCTAAAGCTGGTGGAACACCTTGCAATGCTTCAACGAAACTGTTTCCATTCAATGCAATGCAGGAAACACCCAGAAACCAGTCAGTATAGATCTTGTGAGGTTCATTGAATGTTCCAACTTTTGTGCAGACAGGTTTCGTGACGCACCAAGAGGTATAGTTGCAGGTTTTTGAGCACCAACAGTGGAAGAATCGCCTACATCTTCCACTTTGTTTCTGCCAACTGAAGGAGCTGAAGACTGGTCTTATGCAAGACCTCCTAGTGACAGATGCAGAGGCAGGTTGGTTTGTCATTCGAGAAGCTCGGTCAGGTTCAGCATTTTTGCTACCGCTACCTTTGTTTATTGCTCCTGGTAAGTACGCATATCCTTTCTCTGGACAACGTCGCCTCTAGATTCTAGCAATGTGCGAAACGGCTAGAAGAGAGCAGCCAGGAACATTTTTGCAACTATCCGTTGCTCTTCCTCCTGGATATGCCTGACCTGCGCAAGCGCATGCTGAAGCTGCCTGGGAAGATGTTGAACTTGATGGCCATGGTTCAGCGGGCGCAGGATCCGTTGAATCCGTACACGGGTGGGAAGATGACTAGCTTCAATGTGAGTAAGCTGGAGGGCATGGTTGAGAATGCATACCTTCAGTCCGAGAATGAGCGGGAACAGCGTCAGGCTGTCCTCAATCTAGCAGCCAATTCCCAGACAGGGGCATCGGCTGAAGCCTTTGCAAGCGAATTGGGGGTGAGTTTGGAGGATCATCCCGAACAGGAAGAAGTACACCAACAGCTAATTCTGCTGATGCGCTTCATCCTGGCCTATTTGCAACTAGATGACTTTCAATGGGACGCAGCCAAAAGAACGTTGCATCGTTTGATATTCCATGTCACAGTTCATCCGAAAGCTCCGAAGTATTTCCCGGATCACATCAATCGAACAAAGAGTCCGGAAAGGACAGATTTCAAGAATCCCTACCTTGGCTCACAAGAATTGGACATCGTCGCTTTCCCAAAATGGTACTTGGCTGAATTGCAGCACCTCCTAGCACTTTGTGAATGTGGGCGTGGAGATTTCCGATCCTGCCAAAGAGCCATCGAGTGCTACTTCGACCTTGTTCCGAGAACTTTTCAAGACAGGAGCCAGGGTTTTGGTTGAGGCTGCTCTTCAAATTCGATTCATGTATTGAGCGTTTTAGATGGCATGGAGTTGGTGATAGGTGAGCATGATAGACAGCTATTACTGTACGTAGCTGAAAGAGAAGCAGCTAGGTATCTTCTTGCCAATGGTCTCATCTACAAGCTGCTAGTAAAGGTTCCGTGATGTTCCTGGCGCAGGAACTCTGAAAGTGCTCTCTTCTTAAAGGCGTGGGCAGAGCTAAAACCTCTACAACTGGAGCGGCCCAGAGACTTTGCCCAGATTCGAGAACAGCGAAGAAAGGCTTTACTGAGACTCCGCTGCAAGCACCACTTGCCTTCCTTTTGCCTGTGAGTTGAAGAAGCGTGAAGCATTCTGTGTTTTCAGTATTGAATTCGTATTCACTGTTGACTATATAGGTCAAAAAACACCGTGTGACCGAAACAAGTTTCACACGTCTACCAAGGAAAGAGACGATGCCGATTTGGAAAGCTCTAGAGGCTTCATACAGCAAAGATTGCGCAGGGGCGTTTGACACAGAGACATGGGTGGAGGCACGCTTCTATCATGACCTTGGCTTTAACCCTTTACCAGAGTCATTTCAGGAGATCCAAAACAATCTGCAGCAACAACGGAAGATGCAAATGCCCAGTTTTGGTGATGACTCTGGGTGTGGATGCTGGTACGTTTCTGTTGTTTCTTTTTTGCCATCGACAAACTGCAGAGGCTTCACTCAGCGACAAACCCAACAGCAACAAAGACAATGGCTCCGAGGGCACCTGGCTGTAACGCGAGTTACATAATATATGTATGATCTCACCAATAAGTTATATAAGTTATATATGTTTCAAAAGGCTTTGACACCAACAGTTAAGCTATAGCATATATAACATATTCACAGAGAAACACGAAGGCAACATACGCCAGTAGAAACCATCCACGTTCAGTATTATGAAAGCCACCTGCAGTGGAAGCAGATGACTTGAGCTGAATGAGAGAGGTCCTTGCTATTTAAGTTATAAGCTTTCATATCTCCACAGTGCTCTAAACCCGTGCTGTTCTAATCCAACCATTGCTGTTCTAATCCAACATTGCTCACCAAAGATCAACATCACTCAAGTGCAATTGACTGGAGAAGGTTTGTAATAAAGCTTTCAACAAGACTTGCTAAGTATAAACAGGGAGACCGAGCGCAGACGGTTTATTCTCGTTCTTTCAGGCAGTCGTTGCCCTAGAGGTCTCGCTACACACACTTATGGACATGCATAAGGACTTGATTGCAGTTGCCACACGCCAACCTAAGTAAACCGCCTAAGGGTCCAGGTGAGTTGAAGATAGCTGAAACAGTGGCCGCCGTGAGGCCTCAACGAAACCTTCAAATAAAGGCCCAAATCTCAAAAGTGAAGCTGACGAGCACGAAACGACAAGGTGACGACGTGCGCTCATGTCTGCAGAACTCATTACACCTTTACTGGAGAGTGGAGTCACAGCTTGTTCAAAAGTTCAAACCATCGCAGGTGCGTCACGGTGATCAGCCGTGATATCCGCATGTACTGTGGCCGCTTCGTTGGACCATTGCTCACAGCACATGGATGGTCCCCCTGCTTAGGAAGGAAAACCGCAGTGAACAATCCGAAAGGATCCCTGTGAGTCCAAGAAGTGCACACACACACACGCCTCCCCAAAGGGAGGCAAAAACTAAATGATAAGCTAATGTGCATTTGTGCGCGCAGCATAGACAAAAAGAGGAAGAATTGAGAAAGAGGAGAGACGGGACAAAGGTGTGTGTGGTGGCAATGAAAAGGGAACCAAATGCACAGGGACAAACGGTTTGCCATACCTCAGAATCTGGGCGACCTGAAGCCTGGGTTAACAGTAGGTGTGCGCTTGCAGACTAAGGCCCGGACCGACGTGCGCGCAAGAGAAGGAAAGGAGTGAGATGACAGGACATGAAGCAAGGAAAGGCATGAAACAAAAGGAGGAAAGAAAGTGTTTGAAAAGGGAAATGATGAAAAAGGGAAACGAATGGAGGGGCCCGGAACCAATGAAGCCAGACGACCTATGCCTCGTTAAAAATGCGCGTGCTGTGTGTGCACCTAAGGCTACGACAGGTCCCAATGAACCTTGAAAAGCTTTGGTCGCTGCGACCACGTAGTGGCTTGCCCAACGCCTGCCTACTCAAGACCGCTGCGGTCACCTAATGGCAGACTGCTTACTTGGACTGCAATAATCCATAAAATCTCGGCTAAAAACTTTGGCACAAGCCTACTCCGCCCACTGGGCACGTGCGTTTCCGCGGCAGTGGAAACATAGACAAACCCCCGTTCAACGGGTCTACAGGGGCCACTTGTCGGGGCCACCCTGGGCTGGCATAAAGCCAGACGCACTTATGGATATGCATACGGACTTGATTGCGGTTGCCACACGCCAGCCTAAGTAAACCGCCTGAGGGTCCAGGTGAGTTGAAGATAGCTGAAACAGTGGCCGCCGTGAGGCCTCAACGAAACCTTCAAGTAGAGGCCCAAATCTCGAAGGTGAAGCCGACGAGCACGAAACGACAAGGCGACGACGTGCGCTCATGTCTGCAGAACTCATTAGACCTTTACTGGAGAGTGGAGTCACAGCTTGTTCAAAAGTTCAAACCATCGCAGGTACGTCACGGTGATCAGCCGTGATATTCGCATGTACTGTGGCCGCTTCGTTGGACCATCGCTCACAGCACATGGATGGTCCCCCTGCTTAGGAGGATCCCTGTGAGTCCAAGGGGTACACACACAGGAAGAAGCTCGGAAGGAACCTTTTTCAGTCGAATACCGATCCACTCATTAGCCCATCTATTTCTAGGCGTTCAATGGAATTAGAACCAAGCAACTTCAGGTACATGGGCCAGGTAAACGAACCACATGAAACAAACCAGGGGACCACAGCAACCAATCAACATCTGAACCAGAGCAGGTATCTTGTTGAGTTAAAATGAACGTGATACAGCGAAAGCTCCCTTAAGAACAAGGTTTGACACCTGCGCGCACGCACGCGCGCACGCACGCACACGACGGTGTTCAACGACCGAGGACGACCCCTTTGAGTCCTTCCAGAATTTGGAGTTCTTCGTTGGCCGGGCAGCGGACGTCACGGTTCGCTTCCACACGTCCAGCGAGGAGAAGGCTCGAGACTCTCGACGAGGTCGAGCTCCGAGCAACTTCGGGGCCTTTCGTGGGCAAGGTGCCTTCGCGATGCCTGATGCTTGGGCGAAACCTAGATGATGCGGGTGAATTGGAAGTGTGTGGGATGTGGCATATTGAAAGTAAAAGGCAAGAAAACTCAAGAATCCTCCAGGAAGTCTTGAAGGACACGATGATTGTTGTTCCAGTGTTTGTTTGATAATTTTCGACCTCTTTTTTTTGAGGGATGGTGTGCTAATGATGAATGGTTACGTCATGTGCCCATGAAGTCAGTACTGTTGAATCCTTGGCAAGTCTTGTGACAAGATGATGCCAGTGGTATGTTACGTAGGTGTCCTTTGCGACGCTACTTGTGGCCCGTGCGGTTCCTTCATTGTACCTCCGAGAAAGCCTAAGGATATGGAGAACGAGTTGTATGAAATGCAGCAGAAGCTGTTTGCCTCAGTGCTTGGAGCTTTTGGACCACGTGGAGGTGGACTCTTTGGAGGGGCGCCTGCAGATTCAGAGGAAGAAGATGAAGAAGAGGAGGAAGAGGAAGAAGAGGAGAAAGAGGAAGAGGAGGAAGAGAACAGTCAACCCTTGCGGTAAGTGGGAAGTTGTGACCCTGGACACCTGCTTCAGATTGGCTTAATTTTAAGTCCGTTGAATTTGATTGCCAGCGCGATGTTTTGTGGTCGCATGTCACTTTTCGACTCGCAACCCCAAGACCACAACCATCAAATCAATTGAGTCGCAATGCGAGTGTCGCTGCGTCAGAAAGCTGTGGGCACGATGCTGCCAACGCTGCACATGGATTCGAATGGAACGTTTACTGGACTGCGTGCTATTTCCGGGCCTGCGCGTAGACGGTCTGCTGGAGAACAAGATCCTGTCAAGTCTTTTTGTTTCGTGCTCAATCTTTGATCTTACTGAGTCCCTAGGCTTCCCACCATTCACTCAATAGGCTTTACCGAACCACCATTGTTTTACCAAGGTTTCCAGTCTAAGTCGGTCCTGTGAGTTTCGCCTGTCGTCGCCAGGAACGCCCAGTGGCCTCCACGGCGGTCTTCGTTCACGCGGTGAGCCTTGGTGGACTAACACATATGCAGAACCATCACTAACGTCACTAACCCATATGGAAGCATATACGGGCATATTCATCGATTTTCATACCAGTGGATGGTTCTTTGTATGGCAGGGCATGGACAACACTTTTACTATAAACCACGGATATCGATGAAATGAACCAACATCCATGGGCTTACCGACATCCATGGGCTTACACGGTGCATGCGTGGGACCTGTTTGCTTCGGGATCGCCATGGCGGAGGCGAGATCGCCATGCTTCAGCAAGTGGTGGGTTCATGGCCATGCTTATCAAGGGAGTGTGAGCCTACGAAAAAGAAATAAGAATCTTGGTATGACCCCACCAGCCATGCTTACCAATCAGATCCATCTATGGATGGCCTTTGAATTCCCTCAATCGGACTGTGTACCGCACGCCCCACAAGAAGACGCTCCAAGTTTACCTGCCGCTTTTCATCGAGGAACCCCTACGGCATGGCCCACTTCCGGCGCTTTAACGAGAACAATGTGGACCTGAACCGGAACTGCTTGCTGCCGCTCAGCGAAAAAGAAAACAAACACAGAAAGGTTGAGAACGGCTGCGGCTTGGGCTTTGGACGTTTTGGGACGGGAAGATCTGGATCGTTTTCTGTTTTCGGCACGAACTCTGCTTGGAGCTGGCATTTTATACTACAGGAGGCTAAGGACCATAGAATTGGCCTACAGGGAAAATTGACGAGAAACAAGCTGGTTGTTGGTGTAACCAGCTTGTAAAGCACCTTCTCACTCACCTTCTCACTCACTCCCTCTCACACTCTCTCTCTCTCTCTCCTTTCTAACATTCACCAGCAATTCCTACTGCTCATGAGTAAAACTTCCCCCGCACCACTTGGAAAACCGGAGAGATGCCATCCAGGTCGCCGCGCGACCCATGTGACACGCCACGCGACCGCCGAGTTCGGCCAAGGCCGGAGCAGTTCGAGCGGCTCCGAAGGACGAAATCGAGTTCGGCCGGTCCCGTGGGCCCATCGGGGAGCGTCGTTGTTCGGGGGGTCTTCGGGGAGTTTGTTTTTGTTTTGTTTTCTTTCCGCATTTTCTAATTTTACTTTTTTATTTTTTTTTTTCGGAATTTTGTTTATTTTTGTTTATTCTGAGTTTTACTTTGTTCTTTTTTTGCCTTCTGTTTTTGGAGTGGCCGAGAGTTTCGTCGTGGTCCCGTCATGTTTCTCTTTTTGGGCTCTTCGGAAGGGAATTTGAGGAACATGGACTCAAGCAAACTCTTGAGAAGAAGCCAATCTTGGTTGGCCTGGGAGAGTTCTAGAATCTTCACGAACCTGATTTGTCCGTCCTTTTTTGAACGTGTACGGCGGCCAACTCCTCTTAAAACCCGAAAGAAAAGCACATCGAAGAACATCGCGTTCGAACGAACCAGGAGCGATGTCATGGCACCTGTCTATGGCTACTTCGATCCCCTTTTCAATCCGACGGTGCCGCCTGGGGCCTTCTATCGCAACATAGGCGCGTGCGACTGCGCAGGTCGTGCGCTGCTGGGCGGTGGTGTTGGAAAGGTGGTGCTGGAGCTGCGGGGGTGTTTGGTTTTCTTCCTTTGCTTGCTATCCACCCTTGCGCGTTTTTGTTTTTGGTGATTTGCGGCGTTGGCTACTTGGGATAGTGTGTTCTAGAAGTTTCGCAGAGTTTCGCGTTTTCGCGCACATGACTTTGATCAGGCTATTGCAAGATTCTAAGCAGAGTGTCTTGCACTCGGTCATATCTCTTTGACCATGAACACTGTTTGGGAGTTCTGTCTGGGCCTTCCACGCTGTCCTGTCTGAGAGGTTTTGTTGATCACCTGTACTCATGCATAGGCTGGCTGGCTGCCACCTGAGAAGGGGATGCAAAAAGGGCTTCTCGCATGTAGGTGCACTAGCTGCAATATGCTTCTCATTGAGTAACCTCCAAAAAGGCACACGCCAAGGCAGGTAGAGCTTGTAAGCAGCCCTTCTTCGAATAGCTTGGACCACGCCGTCAGCATCACCGGCTGGCTTCGAGCGGAGGTGTTTGGTTTGAGATGGCGGGCTATGTGGCGAGGTATGGCCTCTCGGTGCGGTTTTGCTCTGGCCCGATCGGACGAGTCGCCGGCGGGACATCCGTCCGTGCCGTGGGTCGCCCAGAATCGGACGAGCCGTGTGCGCGCGAACGGGTTGAAAAGACGCCGGAGAAACCACCTGAACTTGCATCAGTCGGGGTGCATCTAGTGCTGGGGGAAAAAACCAACACTCTGATTCACCTGCTTCAGCCCACCGACTTCCGGCGACTTCCGGGCCACGGAGCCGGCACATTGGCTCAGCCGGCATCGGTGACCTCATCGGTCCTAGGCATCGGCTATATCAAGAACGCCCTCGTCGCGGGCACCTACCAACACGAGAAAGGCACCTTGTGGCCGTGAGTGAGTGCGTGAATTGATGTGGTTCGCGGAGGGAGCCATGAAGAAAGATAGGGGTGAGCCCATACCCAGATGGAGAGGGTCTCAGTTGTGACGTGGAAATCGGACGAGCACACGTGACTTGGACCGTTTTGCTCGGATATGACGCGGTTGCTCGGTTGTGACGCGACACAGCGTGTCTCTCCATCACAACATTCGGATAGAGTAGAAGTAGCTGCAGCAAGGACCCTACATTTAGGGCTTGCCCCACTGTGCGCCAACACAGGTTGGCTTTAAATGTTTGTAAAACGCTTTAAAGCATTGTTTTGAGCAAATTCAGATAACGTATGGTTTTTAGGGTTTTAAGGATTTCGGGTTTTGGTTTTGGGTTTACGATTTTTGGTTGTAGGTTAAGCCTCAAACCCCTAACCCGTGAACCTTTAAGCCCTAACTCCCTCAACCCTTAAACCATAAGCGCCGCCTAGCGCGCGCCGTACAGGCCTAGCCAGCGCCGCCAGCAAGCGGAGGGGAGCTGGTGTCGATCACCAGCTCCCCGAGCCATTTACAACTCAGAGTAGAGCGCTCGAAGTGGGTACTAACAGTAAAAGAAGTACCCTTAACCGTGAGCCCTGGCTCTGAAAGTTGGCGTCTTGGAGGCCTTGGGTTGTCGTAGCACAGATTCCTCTTCTAAAGGCTTTCGTAGCACAGAATCTTCTTCTAAAGGCCCTCGTAGCACAGAATCCTCTTCTAAAGGCTTTCGTGGCACAGAATACTCATCTAAGCCCTGGAAATCAAAGACCATTTTAAAATGGTTGATCGGGCTTTGTAGAGTAAAACCCTTAGTAAAACAATGGTTGTTCGGTTTAAAGGCTATTAAAACAATGGTGGTTCGACTTCCAGGGTAAGGACTCTCGTGGCACAGATTCCTTTTCTCAAGGCCCTCGTAGAACAGAACCCTCTTTAAAAGACTTTCGTAGCACAGATTCCTCTTCTAAAGGCCTTCGTGGCTTGGCCTCCCGGGGTCGAAACCGGATTTTGGACGGGCGCCGGATTTTGTCTAAATTTTAATCTAATTTCAATGGCGAACGGTCCGGTTCGCGGCAAATCCTGGGGTGGGCCCCACGGCCGGCTGCCCGTAGCACAGGCTTGCCTTTAAAAGGCCGCTTGGAGCGCCCGTAGCGCAGTACGCGCGGGAGCCACCGCGCGTTCGCGCGGCAGCGACAAGCAAACAGAAACAACCACTGTGAAACAAGAAGAAAAGCAAGAAAGCAAGAAAGAGAAAGAAAACAACCACACAGCGACGCGACAGCGTTGGAGCGCGGCCGGAGCGCGGCGCCGAGCCGCAGGACATGCGTCGGGCGCGGCAAGCAAGCCTCGACGACGAGGACGCCGACGACATGTCGGAGGACCGAGGGCGCGGGTCCGACGACCCGCCCCCAGCAGGCCAGGCGGGCAGAGGGTTCCCCTGGGTCCATGCGCCCGAGGAATTTCCACCGGACTTTTGAATGGACCCCAGGGGCTGAAGAGCACCGTTGGAAAGAAGGATGGTGGAAACGAGGGTGTCGCGGAAGCGAAACCCCCGCATGCTACGAGGACCCGGGGTCGAAACCGGATTTTGGACGGGCGCCGGATTTTGTTTGAATTTTAGTGTAATTCCAATGGCGAACGGCCCGGTTCGCGGCAAATCCTATAGGGTGGGCCCTACAGCCCGATGCAGACCGCTGCAGATTCTTCGCCCATCCTACGTGTTCTGCCCGACGACGTGTTGCGGCTTTTGGGTGCTGCCAACCGGCCCACTTTACCGCAAGCTCTCGTGGCCCAGGCCGAACACTTCCTCAGCGGAGCTCTTCTTGGCCCCCGCGCCTGCCCCTGCGCTACGCACGCGTCTGCGCGTGTGGCAGCAGGTACTGCGTACTGCGGGCGCAATTGGCCCGCTACCGTGTCTGCTACAATTTTCTTCGGGGTGCGCTTGTGAGGGCCCCCGTAGAATGCCCAGAAGTGGCGCGAGCGGTTGTGCCGCAGCAGTAAAACAGACTCACACGATCCAAGCGCGTCGTGCTGCAGACACCCATGGCACCTTTCTGTTCGTGAACCGTGTCGCTGCTATGCTACGTGGAGCCAC